TGCCTTCATTGTCGGAGGGGGCAAAGAGAGCAGAAAGTTCTTCGTCCATGCCTGGCGGCGGGGTTGCAAGGTCTGCGATCGAGCCCAAGAGGTCTGAGTCATCCGAGTCCACGCTCATGGCAGCAACTTCCGGACGTGGAGGGCTGGACTTGGACCAGGGCTGCTGTGTACAGGCACTGAGCAGGGTGAGGGGCAGAGGCAGAGGGAGCCTACCTAGTTGTTCGTGTGACGGAGTCAAGTGCCGTCCAGTGCCGTCATGAGCTGGCTTCAGGTTAGAGAGGCATAAGCAGGCTAGCCCTCTCCAGCTCTTTAAGCAGGCGGTCCTTCTGTCTGGTGGGAGACTCCAGCTGAAGTTTTGCGGCGACCTGTAGCATGGCGTCAGGGAAGGCAGGGTGGCACACAGCAATGCATAGGCGCAGGCAGCGAGTGAGAGAGTAGCCCACGGCTTGTGAAGAGTCAGAGTGACTACATGCTCCAGGGGCATCTGGGAGATGGAGGTGCCTAGGGGGCTGGGCGGGCTCTGAGCAGCTGTCGGAGGCAGAACCTCCGGCAGAGACAAGACGGTGCCAACGCCTGCAGGGGGTACCCCACGGCCTGCTCGCTGTGGCGTCGCTAGGTCCTGCAAGAAGGGACATGGGGTGCAAGTCTCAGAGAGATTCTGCTTCAAGGCAGAGGGAGTGCAAAGAGTGCTGACAGCCTAGGCACAGGAGACTGCATGTATGCATCACTCGGGCGGGCAGATTGAGTCTCCGTCTCCTCTGCCTTCTGTACAGATTCTATGTTCGATGTCTGCGCATTGGCCGAGCGCCTTTTGTGCCTTTTGGCACTCACCTCCGGCGGCGGAGGGGCCGGTTCAGTTGGGGGATGACGAAGTGCAGCAAGCACCCAGTCCGGCATGTTAAGGATCGGTGTGGTCTCACCATTGCCTCTGTCCAGCAACCATGGACTATCCTGATTTAAAGGTGTAGCCGTGGTAGTCGGGGCTGTATTTCCTGATGACGGGCGAAGGGTCCCGATTGCGTGAAATTCGACACCTGTGCCATCCTTCTGCGGTGTGGGGAGAACCAGCTCGATGGTGGAGTTGGTGCTGTGTGGCTGTGGTTCTTCCCCCGATGATGCCACGATCTCGTCTTCAGCTGAAGGTCGGCCTGTGATGGCATGTTGCATCTTCGGGCGGCACTTGGATTTGACAGCGGTGGATCTGGCCACCAGTGCCCGAGCTTGGCCTGGAGACAAGCGCAGCCTAGTCACGCGTGTCTTAGGCTTGGCTGCTGCGAGTGTCTGTCTCTGTTGCCTGCCAACGGAGCCCTTTGCAAACTTTGGGGGGTGCTCTGCTCGTGGAGGAGTGACCGGCTGTGCCATGTGTGAAGCTGGAAGGTCCGTGTTCTCCACTTTGGGGGTAGCCATCATCCCGAGAGCCGGCATGGCTTTGGCCACCGGTTCCAGATGCACTCGCTGTGGCCCCGTCCTTGCTTCCAAGGATGTTCCACTCTGCTCCTCAGAAGGGACCTCCACCATAAGATCATCGGCCTGATGCTCCGCAGTAGGTGACGGAGTCCGTGGCGGGGGAATATCTTCCACGACTACATCCTCCATATCGTCATCTGCGACATTGAGTGCATGGGGCTCCAGAGGAGCCGGAGTGGATGCAGAGACCTCCGTGTCTTGCGGAGGAGTGGCAGGATTAGGGACACGGCGAGGCGGTTCAGGTGGAGCAGGAGGTCGTCGTTGTGGTGCTGGCCTCCAATTTCGTGAGAAGACGGTGAGAGGTGGTGGTTGTCCAGTCGCCTCGGAGTCGCGAAGTCCACTTGCCGTCCGTGCTTCCCTTAGCTCTTTGAGACGACGCCGTGTCTGCTTGTCTGGTCTTCTAGATTCTCTCTCATAATCGCGCTGTGTTTTGATACGCCGCCCGCTGCCGGTGGGGGGATCCTCTGGCGGATCCGCTGACAGATCCATCTCCATCTGCTGCTCTGGGAGTCTAGCTTCTCTGGGCAGCTTGAGAGGCCAGGCCGCAGGTTGGAGGGAGGAGCTTCGATCGCACTGTGAATAGGCTGGCTGTGACCCTACTGCAGACCTGCACGACTTATCAGACTTGTGGGCACAGGACAGTCCTGGCTGGGTCTGGCCGTTCCGCTGCGGCTGCACCGGCAGGCCAGGCGAATAGGGACCTCACGCCAGTGGAGGCAGAGGGGAGGGGCCGGAGGGAAACCTCCTAGCCACTGACAGCACAACGGAGGGGAACCTCCTCTATTTGTCACTGCAGGCAATGCGGTTGTGGGAGCCCATGAGACAGTGTGGCAAAACAGGCGAAGGAGACTGAGGTGAAGGCCATGTTGTAACAGTCGGGTGTCCTGCCTGAGCCGGGAGTGCAGCGAGAGTTTGCTGATCCAGGATCCTGTGCAGCCTGGGCGCCTAGTTTTGCTAGCAGTTACACCTGTCGTATGGTGGCCTACGAGCAGTATCAGGCATGGCGGGGGCTCAGGGCTACTTCGTGCAGCTTGTGATGTGGATTTCTTTGAGGTCCCGACGAGAGTCAAGTCCACAGTCCAGGGTAGGCTCGTTGAGGTCGCGGCTGTGGTCAGTTCGCGTTCCATCAACCCAACGCTCTGCAAGGGTTCCAGTCTGTTCACTCTCGTAAAACTGCTACGTAGGAGACTGTGTACATGCTGACCAATTGCCCTACTGGGGCAGAGGCTGGGATGAATCTCAAGAGCAGCTCGCACTTGGCGAAATCCTTTCAGCATGGAAGTCAGACCTGAGGTTTTGTTATAGATCTCGCACCGGAGTTGCAGGGGGTCAGTCCATCGATTCGAGGTCTGCTGCACGGCAGATTCTGGAAGCATATGCGGCATCCAAAACACTGGTTGCGAAGGTTGCATCAAGTTCATAGGTGTTAGCCAGAAAATCCACTCGCTGTTGCGGGGAGAGCCATGTCCATGTCTCCTGCCAGATACAAAAGGAGGAGGTGCGTAGCCACGAGCTGCCATAGAGGTTGTGTATGCTGATCCTAGAGCTGATGGGCAAAGGTCGTAGGGCCAAGAGGAGATATTCCATGGCCAACTGCCGCATATGGAACTCTCTCGATGACTCCCAGCGCCACCATGTGGCCAACAGTGGTATCTTGTTTGCACCGTGAGGAGGGCAGAGTACCATATCCATGACATACCCACAGCCCTGAAGCCCAGAAGTCCGAGGAGCATAGGAAGAGAAAAAAAAATAGCCCTATGCGGCAATGAAGAGAGGGGTGAGAGACGAAAACCACCCCCGGGCGTGTTATGACGAGCCGAGACGCTTCAAGCGTGAGTAGGAATATTGGTGGTTGTCGTGGTCCTCACTTTGAAGGTATGGCATCAGTTCCGTGGATATGCAGGGAAGTTGGAGGCCAGGTCCGAGGCCCCCTGCTCTGAGGAATTCATCCGCCGCAGCCTTCCAGCGGTCCTGTGCCTGAGGGTGCCCCAGCCTGATCCAGGGGCGTGTGCCATCCGGTGGTGGCAGTGCTCGGCCCTCCTCTTGGGCGACCAACCTTTGAAGGAGGGCCATCGCTTTGGCCTCCACTGCGTCGAAGTGCGAATAGCGCCAGAGGCGGGTCGGAAAGTAAAATTTCTTTTTTTGCGGCCCACGAATCCAGTAGGCGACAACCGCGCGGAGGTCCCAGCCTTCGGAGGTGGCCGCGGCACGAAGACGCCACAGGGCGCTGTGCAGTAACCCGGCAGCTTGAATCGCAAGCGACGGCTGAGCTTGTAACCCCAGCGGAATGTCCGCAAGCGGGAAGAGCAGTCGAAAAGCGCCGCGATAGGAGCCAGGATACGTGAACATGCGCGGTTCAAACTCACCGCGTCTGGCCGGAAGGAGTCCGTTCTCAAAACCCGCCATCAATCGGTCCGCAATGGCAATCTGAGGACGGCCTACCAAGTCAGCTGGAACCTTGCATGTAACCCGCACCTCAATATGTTGGCCGTCTCGGGCTGGGGTAACGTTTATGAGCTGCAAAAGTAGGGCGGCCGAAGGGTCGTCGGCTGGCGCTCGGGTGAGGAAGAATAACAGCTGCACAGGCAACAGCATGCCGCAATGTAGTAATGGTGTGCCCTGTGTCACCTCAGCACTCGTGCTGCCTCCCCCGATGTTGCGCCGTTGGCTAGAACCAGCGCCCCGTCGGCTATTTGCTGACAGTGGATCTGGTTTGGCAGTGGGGTCACGCTTGGGAGCCAAGGACATCTGCACCAGGCTGCCATCCCGGACGGGGGACTTCCGCCCTTCGAGAGCCCGGGGAAGCAAGCCCTTAAGTCCCGCGAGTTCATCAAGGAGCAGCCACCACCAAATCTCAGGACGGGCAAGTTCATACCAGGAAAGGTCGAAAACCTGTCCTTCAGGCAGGCGTAGAACTGGGTCACAGAACTGTGCAAGTGCCACGGACACAGCAAGCAATGGTGTCAAGCAGACGCGAAAGGCTTCACTCTCAGTGCAGCGCCGCAACATGAGGGCTCGATCGGCAAAATCCACAACTTTCACCCAAAGTTCTGGGGGCTGAGCTTGACTTCACAGGCGGGCAGCGACAAGGGGAGGGAAAGCAGGGTAAGGCAGTCCGTGGAGCTGGGGAGTAAATGCTGCAGCGCCCCGGGGCAGTGTATTCCATCGACCGGCTGCTGATTTCTGCCCCTAGCTTGGTAACGCCGGAGGGTGTCATGCTGCTCTGCGAACTCATCCTCATCCTCTGCCGGTACGCACCGGCTGGCAATTGAAGTAACTCCCGGCACAAGACGACGAGGCGGGGTTTCGACCGCCTCCAAAAGATTGTGGCGGTAGGTGCAACCGGAAGGGAGACAGCACAGCTTTGACTGCGCAGCTCGGCGGTCAGCGTCGGATCCTCTTTGGCAGGCACTCCCGTGTCTGGGTCCGGACGTACTGCTCCCGCCGGATTATATAGGGCGCGTGGGAGGTTTGTAGTAGCCACCGGCGGTAGCAAGGCCGCTTCAGGGCAGGAATGGCGTATGTGCGACGACACATAACGCTGTAGTCTCCCAAGCAGCTTGGTGTTGACCGTGTCAGAGGCGATGGCATAGAGATAAAATGCTCCCGGAACGGCAATGACTGTCGACTCCGTAGCACCGGCTTGGCTCCGGCACACGGTCGCTGGCTCAGCGCAAGGCATGTGTGACCCGATGAGAGACCGGTGGTGGGTGGAGCGGAGCGCACTGTATAGCCTTTTGGGGGGAGGCACGCCCCCTCCCTTGTGTTCACGGAGGCGATGGAGCCCGAACCTCGGCGGGTTAGTAAACTCCAGCAGTCCGAAGATGGGGCACTCGGTGTCGATGATCGGATAGAACGGTCGCGCCGTGATGGCCTGGCCCCGCGGTCCACTGTGCTCAAAGTCCACACCCCGAAGGAAGAGCTGAACCGGGTAGCCATCCAAGCAATGTGCGCTGCAACGGCTGTAGCCTTACAAAGCGAGGGGACACGGTTCACAGACCATCGTTCGTAAAACTCCTTGGCGGTCTCCTTGTCCTCACGTGGGGGGCTGGGTATCCCAAGCTTGGCGAGCCCATAGGCTCTGTACAACTCCTCCCATTGGACATGGGTATGATGCAGGACAGAGTGGAGCTCCAATGCAGCGGGAATGCCCCACCAATGAGAGGGGAGGCGATGATCAATGGGCTCGTGGGCCGGTGCTGCCGGCCGTGAGCCTCTGATGGGCATCTTCTCCTGTCATGGTAAAGCGCCCGGCCCTGTCGATAATGCAGATGTCGACCGCCCCCGTAGTGCCTGCACACACCGTAGTGGTGAAAAGGTCAACAAAGGCGCCTAGTTCGTTGTGATGATCGTAGAAGAAGGAGAAGAGGGTTGCGGCCTGCGCCTCGGTGGCGAGTCCCGGGGAGGGAGCTCTGGCAACCAGTCCGATATGAACTCCGCAAATGATGTGCCCTCAGCTACTACTCGGTGCGCGTCACCAGTGTCGGCGTTGGCAGGGCGCGCGTTGCTGAGGCCGAGACCATGCTTGAGGGAGTCAAAAACCCGAGTGGTGGGTGTGACGACCGTGATTTTCCGTCCCGCCTGGACTGCAAAACGATGCCCGCAGACATTGTAGGCGAGAACCAGAAGGACGCAGAGCAATTCCACAAGGCCTTCAGGGTGCATAGCCGAGGACGTATGCCTTGGTAGGCGGACGAAATACACTCCTGGCTGCTGCGTGCCATCCGCCGCAACCCTCTGGAGTCGCCTTGCAGCGGTATCCGCAGCGAGCTCGCCAATGGTAATCGGGCATGGAGAGGCGTCACAGGCCCTGTGCATAATAATGGATTGAGGGTATCTGACGGCTGTGATAAGTAAGTAAAGGTCGGCCAACAGCCTGGTGGAGGCAACCAGGGCTAAATTTAGGCAAACTCCATTGATGGGGGCCAGGCCTTCAGCTTGCATAGCTGTATTGGCCGGCGCAAGTATTGCACGACAGCTGACAGACGGTTGAGGTAGCACAGCGTCGCCTCACTATGGGACGTCGACTGGTGGAGAAAATCCACCGCAATAGACGCTGTCGTGAGTCGGTCGGGGTGTGGGCAGACTCGATCACCGATTTTGGTGATTCCAGAATAAGGGATGAAGTATTTCATCCCTTGTCGGGTGACCCGACACCCACGGAGCTCTTGCTGATCCAAGTCAAGACTGACCTCAACTTCCTCCTCACTTCCAAAGAGGCACTCTGACAACTCTCGACACACAGTGATGCTGGCGCCCGGCGGCGGCTCGGCGCCCTGCTGGCCATTGTGGCGGTGCCCCAGGCTAGTCCACCTGACTGTGTGAAGTGGCCCCTGCGGGGTAGACTGCACCATGCCTCGGAGCGCCGCGGCGAGTCGGCCCGGAGAGACAGGCTGTGGGGCCAGCTGGGCGACTCCACGAATGCCGACGGGCTTGGCAATGAGTCGGGCCAGGGTGCATAATTGGACCTCGCCTTTGCCACCGCCAGCAGGTTG